AAAGGAAGTGGCCCGTCTGATCCGCTCTCCCTCTGCCCCCTCCCCGCTTGCCCTCCCTTTTTCTTTCCACAGATAGCCAGCCCGAGTCATGCAGTCTTTTCGAGAAAGGTGTGGTTTCCATGGCAAACAACAGAACTACCAGCAGACCTCGCAGGAAACATCACGCCTGGAGAATTACAGGCAGCCGAGTCAGGCCGGGCTGAGCTGCGACCGGCAGCGGCTGCTCTCCAAGGACTATTATAACCCTCAGCCTTACCCAGGCTACGAGAGCGGCACCAGCACGCCCTCCGGCACAGCGGCCGCCGTGGCTGCCGACAAGTACCACCGGGGTGGCAAGACCCTGCCGGCGCAGCAGGCCCTGCAGGGGAGGCCGGCTTTCCCCGGCTATGGCGTCCAGGACAGCAGCCCCTACCCGGGCCGCTACGCCGGTGAGGAGAGCCTGCAGGCTTGGGGGGCCCCACAGCCACCGCCCCCCCAGCCGCAGCCCCTGCCAGGGGGGGTGGGCAAGTATGAGGAGACCTTGCTGAAAAAGACAGCAGTGCCCCCCAGCCGGCAGTACCCGGAGCAGGGCGCCCAGGTGCCCTTTCGGACTCATTCCCTGCACGTCCAGCAGCCCCCACCGCCACCCCAGCAGCCCTTGGCGTACCCCAAACTCCAGAGGCAGAAACTGCAGAACGACATCACCTCCCCTCTGCCCTTCCCCCAGGGCAGCCACTTCCCCCAGCATTCCCAGTCCTTCCCCACGTCCTCCACCTACTCCCCGTCCGTCCAGGGCGGCGGGCAGGGGGCCCACTCCTACAAGAGCTGCACGGCGCCGTCCGCCCAGCCCCACGACAGGCCACTGACCGCCAACGCCACCCTGGCCCCAGGGCAGCGGGTCCAGAACCTGCACGCCTACCCGTCGGGCCGCCTCAGCTATGATCAGCAGCAGCAGCAGCAGGCGGCCCTTCAGAGCCGGCACCACGCCCAGGAAACCCTGCATTACCAGAACCTCGCCAAGTATCAGCACTTCGGGCAGCAGGGCCAGGGCTTCTGCCAGCCGGACGCGGCCGTCAGGACCCCAGAGCAGTACTACCAGACCTTCAGCCCCAGCTCCAGCCACTCGCCCGCGCGCTCCGTGGGCCGCTCCCCCTCCTACAGCTCCACGCCATCCCCGCTGATGCCCAACCTGGAGAACTTTCCCTACAGCCAGCAGCCGCTCAGCACCGGGGCCTTCCCCGCAGGGATCGCCGACCACAGCCACTTCATGCCACTGCTCAACCCCTCCCCGACGGACGCCGCCAGCTCCGTGGACGCCCAGGCCGGCAACTGCAAGTCCCTGCAGAAGGACAAGCTGCCCGAGAACCTGCTGTCGGACCTCAGCCTGCAGAGCCTCACGGCGCTGACCTCACAGGTGGAGAACATCTCCAACACCGTCCAGCAGCTGCTGCTCTCCAAGGCCGCCGTGCCGCAGAAAAAGGGCGGCAAGAACCTCGTGTCCAGGACCCCGGAGCAGCACAAGAGCCAGCACTGCAGCCCCGAGGGCAGCGGCTACTCGGCCGAGCCCGCGGGCACACCGCTGTCGGAGCCCCTGAGCAGCACTCCGCAGTCCACGCACGCCGAGCCGCAGGAGGCTGACTACCTGAGTGGCTCCGAGGACCCGCTGGAGCGCAGCTTTCTCTACTGCAGCCAGGCCCGTGGCAGCCCCGCCAGGGTCAACAGCAACTCCAAGGCCAAGCCCGAGTCCGTGTCCACCTGCTCCGTGACCTCCCCCGATGACATGTCCACCAAGTCCGACGACTCCTTCCAGAGCCTGCACAGCAGCCTGCCACTTGACAGCTTCTCCAAGTTCGTGGCCAGCGAACGGGACTGCCCACGGCTGCTGCTCAGCGCCCTGGCGCAGGAGGACCTGGCCTCCGAGATCCTGGGGCTGCAGGAGGCCATTGGCGAGAAGGCTGACAAGGCCTGGGCTGAGGCGTCCAGTCTGGCCAAGGACACCAGCAAGCCGCCCTTCTCGCTGGAGAACCACGGCGCCTGCCTGGACCCTGTGGCCAAGAGTGCGTGGCCGCGGCCTGGGGAGCCGGAAGCCCTGCACGATTCCTTGCAGCTGGACAAGGGCAACAACACCAAGGACTTCAGCCCAGGCTTGTTTGAAGACCCTTCTGTGGCCTTCGCTGCCCCTGACCCCAAGAAGACAACTGGTCCCCTCTCCTTTGGCACCAAGCCCACCCTTGGGGCAGCCGCTCCAGACCCCACCGCGGCAGCTTTTGACTGCTTCCCGGACACGACCACCGCCAGTTCCACAGACAGCGCCAACCCCTTCGCCTGGCCAGAGGAGAACCTGGGGGATGCCTGTCCCCGGTGGGGGCTGCACCCCAGCGAGCTCACCAAGGGCCTGGAGCAGGGCGGGAAGGCCCCAGAAGGTGTCAGCAAGGGGGACGCTCATGAGGCTTCAGCCTGCCTGGGCTTCGAGGAAGAGGAGCCCCCTGGCGAGAAGGTGGCCTCGCTGCCTGGGGACTTCAAGCAGGACGAGGCGGGTGGGGTGAAGGAGGAGGTGGGCGGACTGCTGCAGTGTCCCGAGGTGGGCAAGGCCGACCGCTGGCTGGAGGACAGCCGGCACTGCTGTTCCGCCGCAGACTTCGGGGACCTCCCACTGCTGCCGCCCCCCGGCCGGAAGGAGGACCTGGAGGCAGAGGAAGAGTACTCCTCCCTGTGTGAGCTCCTGGGCAGCCCTGAGCAGCGGCCCAGCATGCAGGACCCGCTGTCCCCCAAGGCCCCACTCATCTGCACCAAGGAGGAGGTGGAGGAGGTGCTGGACGCCAAGGCCGGCTGGGGATCCCCGTGCCACCTCTCCGGGGACTCTGTCATCCTACTGGGCCCCACCGTGGGTGCTGAGTCCAAGGTCCAGAGCTGGTTCGAGTCCTCACTGTCCCACATGAAGCCGGGAGAAGAGGGACCCGACGGGGAGCGGGCTCCAGGGGACTCCACCGCCCCGGACGCCTCCCTGGCCCAGAAACCCAACAAGCCTGCCGTGCCCGAGGCGCCCATCGCCAAGAAGGAGCCCGTGCCACGGGGCAAGAGCTTGCGGAGCCGGCGGGTGCACCGGGGCCTGCCCGAGGCTGAGGACTCCCCGTGCAGGGCACCCGCGCTGCCCAAAGACCTCTTGCTGCCCGAGTCCTGCACGGGGGCCCCGCAGGGGCAGACAGAAGGTGCCGGGGCCCCGGGCCGGGGCGCCTCGGAAGGGGTCCCCAGGATGTGCACTCGCTCTCTCACGGCCCTGAGCGAGCCCCGCACCCCCGGGCCCCCGGGCCTGACCACCACCCCCGCTCCGCCGGACAAACTGGGGGGCAAGCAGCGAGCCGCCTTCAAGTCGGGCAAGCGGGTGGGGAAGCCCTCGCCGAAGGCTGCGTCCAGCCCCAGCAACCCGGCCGCCCTGCCCGTGGCCTCCGACAGCAGCCCCATGGGCTCCAAGACCAAGGAGACAGACTCGCCCGGCACACCCGGCAAGGACCAGCGCTCCATGATTCTTCGGTCACGCACCAAAACCCAGGAGGTCTTCCACTCCAAGCGGCGGCGGCCCTCCGAGAGCCGGCTCCCCAACTGCCGTGCCACCAAGAAGCTCCTGGCCAACAACCACCTGCCCACCACGTTCAAGGTCGCCAGCAGCCCACCGAAGGAGGGCAGGGTGAGCCAGCGGGCCAGGGTCCCCAAGCCCGGCGCAGGCAGCAAACTCTCGGATCGGCCCCTCCACGCGCTCAAAAGGAAGTCGGCCTTCATGGCGCCTGTCCCCGCCAAGAAGCGGAGCCTGGTCTTACGGAGCCGTAGCAGCAGCAGTGCCAGTGGCAGCGGTGGGGATGGGAAGGAGGACAGGCCCGAGGGCTCCCCGACCCACTTCCAGAGGATGTCTTCTCCCAAGAAAGCCAAGCCGGCCAAGGGCAGCGGGGAGCCCGCCGCGAAGCCCCCGCCCCAGGAGGCCCCCGACGCCTGCATCAAGCTCGCCTCGAGGGCTGCCTTCCAGGGGGCCATGAAGACCAAGGTGCTGCCGCCCAGGAAGGGCCGGGGCCTGAAGCTGGAAGCCATCGTGCAGAAGATCACCTCGCCCAGCCTGAAGAAGTTCGCGTGCAAGGCGCCCGGGACCTCTCCCAGCCACCCTCTGAGCCCGGCCCTCCCTGAGAAGGACCGTGGGCTCAAGGGTGCTGGGGGCAGCCCGGCGGGGGCAGAGGAAGGTATGTTCAACGTGGGCATCGGGCAAAAGCTGCCGGTGGTGTTGGGGGCCGACGCGTTATGCAGAAATCCAGCCAACAGGTCCTTAAAAGGCAAACTCATGAACAGCAAGAAACTGTCCTCGGCTGACTGTTTCAAAACTGAGGCCTTCATGTCCCCAGAGGCCCTGCCGCCCGGGGGCACTGCCCTGGCACCCAAGAAGAGAAGCCGGAAGGGCCGGGCCGGAGCCCTGGGACTCACCAAAGGCCCGCTGGAGAAGCGGCCCTATCTTGGCCCGGCTCTGCTCCTGACTCCCCGAGACAGGGCCAGCAGCACACAGGGGGGCAGCGAGGACAACTCTGGTGGAGGAGGCAAGAAGCCAAAGATGGAGGAACTGGGCCTGGCCTCCCAGTCCCCTGAGGGCCGGCCCTGTCAGCCCCAGACCAGGGCACAGAAGCAGCCGGGCCATGCCAACTACAGCAGCTATTCCAAGCGGAAGCGCCTCACTCGGGGCCGGGCCAAGAACACCACCTCCTCGCCCTGCAAGGGGCGTGCCAAGCGGCGACGGCAGCAGCAGGTGCTGCCCCTGGATCCCGCAGAGCCTGAAATTCGCCTCAAGTACATTTCCTCTTGCAAGCGGCTGAGGGCAGACAGCCGGACCCCGGCCTTCTCGCCCTTCGTGCGGGTGGAAAAGCGAGACGCGTTCACCACCGTGTGCACTGTTGTAAACTCCCCCGGGGACGAGCCCCAGCCCCACAGGAAGCCCTCCTCCTCTGCCTCCTCCTCCTCCTCCTCCTCCTCACTCTCCGTGGACGCGGCGGGGGTTTCCCTGGCCCCGCTCCCTGGGGGCTCCGTCCTGCAGCCGCGGCCCTGCCTGCCCCTCTCGTCCACGATGCGCCTGGGGCCTGTGGTTTCCAAGGCCCTGAGCACCTCTTGCCTTGCTTGCTGCCTCTGCCAAAACCCGGCCAACTTCAAGGACCTTGGGGACCTCTGCGGGCCCTACTACCCTGAACACTGCCTCCCCAAAAAGAAGCCAAAACTCAAGGAGAAGGTGCGGCCAGAAGGCACCTGCGAGGAGGCCGCGCTGCCCCTCGAGAGAACACTCAGAGGTCTCGAGTGCACAGCTGCCACGGCCGCCGGGAAGCCCCCCAGGCCCGAGGGCCCAGCCGACCTGGCCAAGCAGGGCTCCCTTCGCACCAGTGCCCGGGGCTTGTCCCGGCGGCTGCAGAGCTGCTACTGCTGTGATGGCCGGGGGGACGGGGGCGAGGAGGCAGCCCCTGCCGACAAGAGCCGCAAGCACGAGTGCAGCAAGGAGGCCCCGGCAGAGCCCAGTGGGGAGCCCCAGGAGCACTGGGTGCACGAGGCCTGCGCTGTGTGGACCGGCGGGGTCTACCTGGTGGCCGGGAAGCTCTTTGGGCTGCAGGAGGCCATGAAGGTGGCCGTGGACATGGTAAGAGGCCAGTCCTGCCGGAGTGGGGAGCGTGGGGTTCCTGAGAACAGGCAGTGGGGAGCCCTAGCCTCCCCGGGTGCCGGGCGTGCCCACAGTTGCAGGGCATGGCCTGCAGGCTCCAGCGTCCCTCGGGGAGCATCGGGAGAGGTTGAGGCGCAGTGCAGGCTCAGGCAGGACACCCTCATCCGCCCTGTCCCAGGAAGCTTCCTGCTGCGGCCCCTGCGCCCAGCCGGTACCCACTCCCACCCCGCCCGGCTCCAGCCCCCTCAGAGCCCACCGCCCCTCTCCCCGCTGTTACCACTCGAGGGCTGAGGCCCAGAGGACATGAGGCCTCCCAGAACTGGAGGTCAGGGCGGCCCACAAAAGCAAGGCATCTCCTGCACCTCTAGGACGGGGCCGGGGGCTTAGGGGAAGACCCTCTCGGGTGACACATGGTGGGAATACAGGACCCAGTCACAGGGTCCCGCCCCTCCTCAGGATGCCCCCCACCCCGGATCACACAGCCACAACAGGCAGGACAGGGCAGTCCAGAACTGGTCTCAGGACCGAACTTCAGGGAGCTCTAGTCACTGAGCATCTGGGAATGAGAACTCTGGGGCTGCCCCCACGCCGTGCACCTTTGGGCAGCAACTTAGCCTCTCTGTGCCTCTGTCCCCTTGGCCCCAGAGCAGGCATGAGAGTCCCCACCATGGTGGGGTTATGAGGGTGAGTGTGTGGATGCCTGTGGTGATGGGCCCAAGGATGGTGGGTGTTGCCCGGACAGGCTGCCACTGCCCCAACCCTGAGGGCTCCCTCAGAGGCACGGCCCTGCTCTGGACTCTCACCTGTCTGCCGGGAGGCAGCAGGAGGTGCGGTGGGGCTGGGGACCAGACTTCTCCCCCTGGGCTGTGCCTCCAGCCTCACACTCAGAACCCGTGTCGCCCCGTCCAGACCTTTGTGCAGTAACACTCCTGGTGTCGAGCAGCCGGCAGAGGCCCCACCCAGGCCCTTCCCCAGCCTGCCCTCAGCCTCTGTGTGTGGCTGGGGTTACAGGGGAGTTGGAGGGGCTCACAAGGTTGGGGGGCTCTCTAGAGACCCTGGACACTTGCCACCTGCCTCCAGGCGGTGCAGAGACCTGGCAGAGCGCGCCCCCCCACGCCTTTACCCGTCACCCTGGGCGCCAGCTCCCTCCCTCCCGGCTGCCTTGCTGACCCACCAACTCCTTCGTGGACCACCCCTTGCAGCAGCTCTGAGCAGCCCCTGCACCCGGCAGCCGTCCGGCGTCCGGCCCAGCCACTGCCAGGGGCCACCCACGCCTCCCACTGTGTCCCGGCCACCTGGCTTCCCATGGCCCCTGGGGAAGGCTGGAGACCCTCCTTGTGCCCAGGCGCCCTCCCCCACCTGGCCCCTTGCCTTCTCTCAGGCCTGGGGGCCCCACCTCCTGCGGCTTCCTGGTGTCTCCGGGCTTCCCTCAGACGGGGGCCGGCAGGTCCCTGTCTCTCTCCTCTCCGCATTTCCATTATTTTTTCCTCTCTCCTGTTTTCTCTGCTTCTCTCTTGTCACTGGCTCTTTCCCAGACTCCTTGAAACAGGTTCAGATCTCTCCTGTCATTAACCCTCAGATCACCAGCCCCAGCGGACCGCCCCCTCCCTGCCTCACAGTCCCACTCCTGAAAGCATCGTCCACACCGGAGCCTCACCCTGGGCCTTCCCAGGGGCTGCCCCACGCTCCCAACACTCGTTCCTGCCAGGCCGGGATAGGATCGTCTCTGTCTCTCCTGCAGCCAGCACCAGGAGGCAGGGCAGCACTGAGCACCCCCCGCCCCAGCCTGTCCTGACACTAATGCCACAGGCATCTCACCTTGCTGGCCCGGCACACAAGCTGTCCTGTTAGACTCAGGAGAAAGCGAGTGTCAGGGCATCACACTTAATCCAGCCCGCCCAGCCCACGCCTGTACTGTGCCGTGTCCAGAAATGACCTGGTACCTGCCCGTGGCTGGGGGCACCCGGGAAGGCGGGAACAGGGAGCGTGCGCTCCGGCAGGTGTGTGTTGGTTGCCTTGCTGGATGTGGAACACCCTGGAAGGATGGGCAGGGTCTGGTCCCGGGGTCCTCGGAGGGGACCCTCAGGTTCACCGTTTGGCCCACCACTCCCTCCTTCCTTGGTGGCTTGGCGGCATCACGTTCTCTTGGAGCCAGACAGACCTTGGTTCAAATCCCAACTCCACCAAGGGCCAGCTCATAACTCCAAGCAAGTCACTCGTTCTGTTGAGAGTGGTGGACCCCTCTGGCACATGTGGAGTTTTGGGGTCAGCCAGGACCTGCCAGGCACAGCTGAGTGAGTCCCCGGCGCCACCCATTACAAACCTGTTGGTACCTTGGCCTCACTTTTTGCACTCTGTGCCAGCCCCCACAGAGCAGCCACCACCCCTCTCCCTTCAGTGGCTCTTTCTGGGACCCCCACAACACCTGCTGTCCGCCTTTGGGAGATCAGGGTACCAGTCAGCCCAGAACAGAGGCTGTCCCTCCCCCAAGGCCATCCTGGACCCCAGCCTCATCCGGGTGGGGCCTGGCGACAGGGTGCTCGGGATGGGAGCCCCACCGGGGCTTGGGTCCTCTCTCTACAGGGCCCTGGTTTGGGCTCCTTGGCCAGGCCGGGTTCCTGGGGCAGGGCCCACAGGCTGCACCCCTGGTGGGACGGCTGGAGTCAGAATGGCCTGAGGCCTCGCTCTGTGCCTCAGTTTCCTCATGTCTGAAGTGGCATTGGGGCCTGCCTGAGGGCTGCTGGCCTCCATGCAGGAGCAGTGGAGAGAAGTGTGGGTTTTCCTTCAAACGCCAAACGCCCCGGGGACTGCTTGTGGATGGGAGACTCGGGCCTGGCTGGCCCCACACCCCTGTGCTGCATCACCCTTCCTGGGGACCCGGGGGATACTGGGCCCCAGATCCCCAAGAGGCCTAGCCCTGAGCAGAGGAAACTGAAAGCCTGCTATTCTAGAATGTGCCAGCCCCACCCCCAGCCTCGCTACTCCCAGTCCTGGGTGCTGGCGGCGGGTGGGGCCAGCAGGGTGTTCCCAGGCAATCCTGGCTAGCCCCAAAGGGAGGAAGGAGGTGTTCTCATGCCCGCCTCCCCAGCTGCTGGGAGATGGGATGGAGCCACCCCACCCTGGGCAGGGTGGGTCATGACTACACCCCACTCCACCAACTGCAAGGCCCGGAGCCCGGCCTAGAGCCTGCAGGCAGGTTACTCAGTCTGTGAGCTTGCTGGTAACCCGGGGGAAATAACAATAGTGCCATCATCATAAGGTTGCTATGGGGATGAGGCTTCCAACCACGCCTGGCACATGGCAAGCTATTGTCACTTGTTTAGTGGCTTAGCATCCAGGCACAGCCCCGCCACCCTCCCTACGTCTCTCCACCTCACCCCTGCCAGTGCGGTGGCGCCGTGCTGCTGGCGTCTGGTGACTCTGGGCCCGTTGCTGTCCCTTCCCAGGCCTCAGGTGTGGCTTCGCTCTTCCAAGGGCCTTCTTGGCATGGCCGTCTTGTCCCGGCCACGTCCTCCAGTCTCCCTCCAAACAGCTGGGCCAGGCACAGGGCACCCCACCCCCACCCCAGCAGATGACATTCTCAAGACCTAAAGGAGGCGTCAGGTTGCCAACAGATCAGCATCTCAGGATTGCCACAATACCTCCTGTTCTTACAGAGCCTAGGGTAGAACAGTCTGGTTCTAGGTTCGGCACTCCTCCTGCTGCCAGTAGGGTAGAAAACAGGGTTTATTGGCCAGGCATGGTGGCTAGTGCCTACAATCCCAGTATTTTGGGAGCCCGAGGTGGGAGGATCGCTTGAGCCCAGGAGTTTGAGACTAGCCTGGGCAACTTAACAAGACCTCGTCTCTACAAAAAATTAGCTGGGCGTGGTGGCGCATGCCTGTAGTCCCAGCTACTTGAGGGTCTGAGATGAGAAAATTGCCTGAGCCCAGGAGGTAGAGGCTGTGGTGAATCTAGGTGACAGGGTGAGACTCTGACTCAAAAAAACCAAGTAAACAATGCTTACTGCTTTCATTCTTGCCTGGAACAGGAGCCTTAGTTTCACCATTTGTAAAGTGGGGATCAGTCGTGAAAGTGACCCACAGAGGTCTGTGAGAAGGAGCCGGTGGGGACCGCAAGGACCCAGCATGCAGAGCACGTTGTAGATGCCGCTGGCGGCCACAGCCATGGCAGTGACAGCATTGCCAGCTGGAGAGGGTCCCCTATCCAGCGTGCCAGTCCAGGGGGTGCCAGATGATTAACCCTTGTGGGCATCTGCACCCCAGCGCTGAGCCTCCTTCCAGTGGGTCTTCCAGGGCCACGGGGCGCCTGCCTGCAACACCCCAGGACGGGCTCTGGCCGGAGACTCACCTGCTTCTCTTCTCTCCCCCTCAGACATGTTCCAGCTGCCAAGAGGCCGGGGCCACCATTGGGTGCTCCCACAAGGGCTGCACCCACACCTACCATTACCCATGTGCCAGCGACGCAGGTAAGAGCTGCCCTGGGGGGACAGGCAGGCTCAGGGTCCGGCTAAGCAGGCCCGGAGGGTCCTGGGCATAGCTCCTCGTACCCGGGTCCATTTGCCCCCTCAGTTTCCCTGCTCTCCTGCCCCAGCAATTCTCCATCTCATCTTTGCCTCTACCTAGACATGTGCTGGGCAATGCCAGGGACATGGATATGAGGACGCCCCCAACCACCTGCTTGAGGAATGCCCAGAACAGTGAAAGGAGATAGAGGCATGATTACACCGTGGAGAGCTGTTGAAGGAAGTAGTGTTGCCAAGAGGCAGGGCGTATGTCAGGCCTCAGAGAGAAAGGGGTCCTGGGACTGGGTATTGAAGGATGAGAGAAAGGGAAAAGCTATACTACAACAAAACAAGTGAGTTAGGGCGATGATGGGGCTCAGCACAGACAGAAGCCAGCGGTCTACGGGCACAGGGCGCAGCTGTGGAAGGTTTTAAGCAGGGTGATGATGTCCAGAGGCAGGACGAGGTTCCCCTGCCTCCTTGCCCCCTTCCCTCCTCCTCACACGCTCATTTGTTCCATGGGCATTTATTGAGCACCCACTGTCACCAGGCGCACAGAATGGGAGGTGGGGGAGCCCCCACCCCCATCAGCCAGGCTCAGAGACATTCCTTGGTTCGCCCAAAGACAGCAGTTGTTCACAGGGTAATGTTAGCAGCTGATGACGGCAGTATTTGGGGGAGTGTAGAACCAGCTTTGGCCTGGCTGTGTGGTCCTGGACAGGCGTGTGGATGTCTCTGCCCTCGGCTCCCCAC